CAGTTACCATTGGTTTGGTATATATGCTGCTTGGAGGTGCACCTGTTTTGGGGGGAGAGAGAGACTGCTGCTGCTGCTGCGTTGGTTGCTGACGGGGCCCATTTTCCCCCTCCCTCCGTGGGGCCAGGGGTCACCACATCTCTCCCCCGACGTGACTGCTCCAGAAGAAGTCGGCTCTCTGCTGCTTGTTATCATCGAAGGCTGCGGGAGCTCTGTCCTCTCACGGCTATTCGGCAGGAAGGGGGGAGGGGGGAGGATGGGGGAGTGAGGGAGACGGAGGAGACGGGCCCTACATGTTAATTAGCGCAGACGTGAGGCAAGTAGTGGGGTGCTGTTGGAAATAAAGATGTTTTGATGGTTGATAAGTAGTTTTAAATGTGTATGGATTTAGTGGAGAACCGCTTTGGGGCCAGACAGAGAGGTTCACTTTCTATGTCGATGTCTGCTTTATTTGTATAGCACGTTTACAAAAAGCACTCACTGCCCAAAATGGGATAGTTTATAGTTAGATTTATTATTCCTTTATCCTACTCCTGTCCTTTTTTCATGGAGTGTGTAACTGTTGTCGTTGCTGAAAGAAAGCAGGATGAAAAACACACAAATACAACAAGGTCAAAAAGTACAAGTTAGTTGCCGTTAAAAGCCAAAGAATACACAGACTTAAAAACAAAAACAAACTATTCCACAGTTATGAAGCAGCAGAAGTAATGGCGTGGTCTCCTTTCAGACAGAACCTGGGAAAATTCAACTAAAGGTGGTTTTCTGACCACAGACAAGTCTAGACCAGTATCAAACATGTAAACATGGTATGGCATCTTTATTTAGTAACTCGGTATTTATATTTTCTTTTAGATCTCCCATTGATGTATGTATTCACTTTTGTAGACTCAGTTTGGCATCTTCTTCAAAGTTTTTAGATTAAATTTTTTTTTTTTTTTTTTACATCTAACAATTATTGTGACCTATTTGAAAAGCTTTTCTGTTTGATCCCCACATAATGTACAAATGATATTTAGACTGAACAAGTTAAACTGTTTTTTGCCATGTTGGTTGTTAGTGCAAATATACACTTACAGAGGAAGAAAGCAGCTTCAATTTCACTCTGACTTTGTGAAATCATAACTTGACGGCGAAATATCACTGTATGAGGACTGTGAGTTCCTGTATTCTGTTAACATTAACATCTAGTATTTAGAATACAGTTGCTTTCTGAAAATCATGGGAATACATGTATGTAGATAAGCAAGGTTGTATTTCTAGAGAGTATATTTGTTTGTGAGGACAATCCTTAAAAGCAATGTCTGTCCTCATAAGTGTTCGGATTACAGTTGCTATTTTTTTCAAAGTAGCAGAATACAGAATACAAATTCAGACTGAAAGATCGGCCACAGCTCTTACCCGTCCAGGGCCAGCCAATCACACAGCCTGGCCAGCCTTTTGCCAATCCACTGTTAGCAAAGCGGGCAGTTTAAAAGCAGCCACTTACTGACAAACAGCGCCTCCTCAAGCTCCTGGTTCCTGCTCTGGTTCCTGCCCTGGCTCTTACCCTGGCTCCTGCTCTGGCTCCTGCTCCGCCTACGCCCCAATCACACCATGCTTCTAGCCACCACCAGTGCTGAGATCATCTACAGCAGTAGACGATCACCCCTCTGCAAATGTCACTGCCGGGGTCAATGCGCCAAACAAATACATATTTTTCATGCTTTAATGTTTCTGTCTTGGTCTCTTCAGATTTTGTATTCAGTGTTCTGGAACGGAATGCATTTTCAAAGTATTCTACCCAACACTGCTGATAGCTAACTAATATGTTCTGCTTGGACGCTCTGTAAACATGAAAATAAAATCATTGGTTGTGACAATGTGCTTGTTTACGGACAAAGTATTCATTCCCATATGTGTAAAGAATCAGTCATTTTCAAATTATATCAGACTTTTAGCCAATGCCTCTTTTGTCAGAAGTTTCAAAGAGACAGACCTGTTATTACCCCATGACACATCGCACCTATTTTAAGAAACAAATGAACTGGCAGACATTACCTGTTCCCCGGAGTTACGCAGACCTCCTGCGTCGCAAAGAATTGACTTTAAGCCATTTTTGACTGTTTTAGACATTTAATGGTTTGGCTCCTGTGCGCATCTCACGTTGTCTTATTTATTTTTACTTGCGTACCCTCGGGTTCTCTGTGCCGCGTCTCTAAATGTCCCCAGAATTACCACAAAGGAAATAGAAAAGGCTGCTTTTATTACTCTTGCCTCCAGGAGAAGACGCTGCCGCTGTATCAAGGAGCTTTTAGAACAAGGCTTTTGAAACTTTCCCCTCAAACATAAAGAGTCACACTGTAAGAAATACTTTTTAATTTTTGATGTTACAATCAACTGAAAATTAATTAATCATAGTAAGATTCCTTTGAAGGTTTCTTGTTATTGGAAATTATAACGTTTCCTTCTCGTTCGTGCGTGTCTACTGCTATTATAAAGGCCCAGACGTATTGCACATTTCAGTAATTGCAGAGAGAGCAAGTGGCCTAACTATGTTCAAATTTATAGCTTGTAAAACCACTGATGTCTGCAAGTTATATATTTTATTGCTGATGGTTAATTAACACGAGCTAGTTTGAAATCACAGGTCCATCTAGGCCTTTAAGTTTATGGTAAAGAGACTTCTAATAGTAGATTATCCACGATCATGGGATGTGGTTTTATTATTATCACATTCATGCATTCTATAAGCTAACCGTTTGGTGGTCTAGTGTCGTTTTTATGGTTGGATGTGAATGAATGGGCAGATGTAATGTAAAGTGAAGTACAATATATCGTCTTGCTAATGTGTGCTCGAGTTCCGCTGAGACTTCGACTTTAGATTTGTCAGATTTTTAGAGGGACCATTTCAATTGTCAGGGTTTTTAGATTTGAAAGTAATTGCTGTCACTTGTTTGCACATATATGACAATTATAGCCGAACTTGACATGTCATGTATTCTAAATGTTAAATGGTAAAGACGACCGGGTGAATAATAATAGATTATTGCGCAATTCATACAAAAGGCAACTCAACATGCTTTAACAAAACAAGATCATACAAGGCATAAATAATCATGAATAATCACAGCAGATTGCAATGAGTGTAAAGTAAACAGAACTAATAATCATAATAATGCATTGGTTATACAGCGCTTCTCTGGACACTCAAAGACGCTTTACATTTCATTTTTCATTCACTCCACACATGGTGGTGATAAACTACTACTGTAGCCACAGCTGCCCTGGGGCACACTGACAGAAGCAAGGCAACCAGTCTGTGCCATCTGCCCCTCTGACCACCACCAACCATTCACACACAGACCAGACTCATTCTAGGCAATGGGGGTGAAGTGTCTTGCCAAGGACACAAGGACAGGAGACATCAGTGGGCTTGAATCCACGACCTTCAGGCTCAAAGGCTCTACCAACTGAGCTCTACCAACTGAGCCACTGTCGCCACTGTTTTTAACCTGGATTTTAACAAGTTCAGAGTAGAAACCTGTCTCACATTTTCAGGAAGACTGAATAAATCTGAAATGCCCCAAATTAAAAAATTTAAAACGAAACACAGTTGGACCTAAAGAATTACCAAGGAAGTTTCTTTAGGCATGAGTTTGGTGACTGTATTTTTCTGATTCTCGTTGTTATTATAGTGAAGCCTATATAATTTCTAAGGGAGGTGTGTAATCAAATGTTGGGTTCACCTTTGATGCATATACTTTTGTTACAAAATCATTGTAATTAAAGATCTGCTCACTCTCTCTCCCATTGTCAAGGTTTTGAGTCGATATCTTTTCAAAACTAAATAGTTCTATTTTTTCGAGTTTGTGAAGACAAGGATTTTTTCTTCTTTATAGAAATGTGACTTATTTTATGCTTTAACCTTGTTGGGAAGTTTCATGTGTATTATTATTGTTTTTTTTTAGAATAATAAAGTGCTCTTAAATTCAAAATCTTAACCTAATCTGACATACACACAATATATTTAGTAATCTATGCTTAGATTATTTACTTTCTTCCAACACTTCATACAAGGTTTACATGCACCTTGCAACACAGTGTCACATTAAATGGAACCAAAGTGGGCAATTCAATAGTTTTGGTTCAAGCCAGATGGACATTTTTGTCAAAAACAGGCAACCAATTTTGCCTTTTGTTTTGCCTATTTGCAACACTTTAGTTTAATCCGGTTTTTGCTCCAACCTGTAGCGCTCCTCTCCCCAGATCAGACTTGAAACTCAGACATGTGAAGTGGCTTGCTTGGGAATGTTGTGGATGTCAAAATAGTTGGACTCAAACAAAACACACCTTTCGCCATGAAAGTTACAAAGACCATCTAAAGCTGGAGTAACTAACTTTTATATTTAAAAAAAAACATATTTTGTTTGCTCCAACATTTTAATTATTGTAAAAGTAAAATGACAGTGATCCAGACAGCCGTTTTGGACGACCAGTGGACGCCATGTGTTACGTCCAAAACTCCCATTTTGTTTGCAGTTATTGAATAATGTGTTTTTGCATAATGTATTATCTATAATTAGAGATTTTTTTATAGTTATATCCCCAACCAATAACCATTAAATGGTCTTCCATGTCCTGGTCATTATTCCATTCACAAAGCCTCCAAATATGTAACAATTGTGTCCCCAATTTCAATAAAAAAAATTGTTTAAGGCATCAATTTTTCTTGAAATGGTTTTGAGCCCATCTGAGATTATACCATGTATGTCTAGCAACTAGATAGTATTAAATAATTTTGAGGTAAAACATTATTGGTTCATACATGTATTTTATTGCTGCTTGAAGTTGAATCTAATCTATAAGTACAAACCATTAGTGTGGCAAACGTCACTCCATAGTAAGCAGTGTTTGAGTCGAGAATCACACTTTGCAACCCTCCAACAGCTGTTCTCATGTGCAGTTGCTTGTTTTCAATACATTTCCCATTCTTCACTGTATTCTCGTTCTCTCTCTCTCAGGATGCTCTTCTTCACCGACTATGGGAACGTGGCCAAGCTGGAGCGCTGCAACATGGACGGCTCAAACCGCACTCGCCTGGTGGACCACAGAATAGAGCAGCCCACCGCCCTGACCCTGGACCTGCTCAAGAAACTGGTGTACTGGGCCGATGCCTACCTGGACTACATCGAGGTGGTGGATTACAATGGCAAGAACAGACACTCTATCATCCAAGGGAGTCAAGTGAGTGTCAAATATCAGGGTCAAGCTTGTTGTTTGACCCTGGGCATTTGTGTTTATGTTTCTTGTTGAAGGCTCATATACATGTATACTGTATAGAGATGGACAATTCTTACTTGCTAGCAATCTCAATGAGGTCTTTAGGATATTACAATTACAATACAATACAATTTATTCTTGTATAGCCCTAGGTCACAACAGAAGTCATCTCAGAGGACTTAACAAAACCATTGAAATCACCAACACAGGTCAGAGAATCAACAGTTAAAACACATGAAGAATATAAAGCACACACAAAAGAAAATGTCCATACATTTTGTAGAATGCTAAAGTGTCCTGATCATCACCAATCCTTTCTGTTGGACACTAACTGTCCAACAAGACCCTCCTGCATCGACAAGGAAAAACTCTTAAAAAACCCAGTGGGAAAAAGTGAGAAACCTTGGAGGAGAACTAGGGAAACCCACAGGGAGGGAGACCCATATGAGAAAGGGATCCGCTCCTCCGGACGGACAGGCTAATGATCCAGGACCTAAGCTAGCTACAGAACGTTCAGAATAATATAGCGAGATATTCTGGTTTTGGTTCCCACTCACTTACATTGTAAAAGTTAACTCCTCTTACTCTTATAACTGCTTGTTTTACACTAGCCATGTTGGGTGTGTTTCGGAGAGGTTTATACCATAGACGGTGAATATTAGTGGGCATAGTGACGCCTATTTCCCCCGTTGAAATGCACTGTATCTGTGATCCCCACGAACCTTTTCAAAATGGCCGTGAGCAGCCCCTCCCGCAGGAAAATGGTGAGAAAACACTGATTTGTTACGTAGCTGCACACCGGGGTAGTCTTGCACAGTTTTTCCTATGTGGTTTTACTGCAAATGGCAAATAAATGAATCTGAATCTGAATCTGATTTATTTGGGCAGGCATAAAAATGACACATGCAGTTAATTTAATGTGGTCATTCAAAAGTCCAAAGCAACTAAAATAGGCTGGCCCGAAAAAGAAAAAATACTGCTCACGGACCTTTTTGAGCCGGGCCCCGCCCCTACTGATTTATACACTACATTTTTTGTTGTGACAATGTTGGTAGTGAATAGCGAGACCGGGAAGACCAGAACTTTTTCCTCATTGGCCCTTTGGTTGCTTGGTCGTTGCTATATATAAAACTCCAGTCTCTTCAAGGGCTTACATATCCACCAATGTGAAAAATGTTTCTTATCGTCTTTTCTTTAGTTATTTTAAAAGCTTCCAACATTTTGCACAACAGGGCGGTTTTGGGTGTCTAATTTAGCACTTTATCGCTCAAGACAGGTGGTGAATTCATGTTGTGAGGTTTTAATTTCTTTTGCTCGAACTTCAAAGAGTTGAGGACACATTTGGCACATTTGTCTCTCCCTGTAGAAGCATATCAGCCTCGCGCTCCCATTGCGCACTCCTCAGGCTTTTCATCACAGATTAGGACTATTCATTAAAATATGCTTTTATGCACAAAAGGTACCCACTCTTTATTTATGGGAGAAGGAACACGTTCATCTCAAGCCCCTTATTGTGAGGGCAGGTGTCGTCTGCATAATACTTGCCTTGATAAGCTTGTGGCCCTATTGAACAAATCTACAGTATGAATTCAGCCTATCCTTTGCCTTTTAAATGTAAGTGCTTTATACTGTAAATGCAATACTTTAGTGGTTGTTGGACTCCGGTTATTTTAGGAGCAAGGGTTCTTCTATTCCTTATATGAAAAACATTAGAAATACCCACAAACAGGTTTTAGATCAACCTCTATATGTCAGTAAATCATGGCTACCATTTTTTTGTTTCTAAACTTTGTAAATTGTGGTTTTTACCTTTGAACTTTTACAGACTTGTGTGACAATTATTCAGCTACACTGAAATAAAAGAAAACATTTTAACTTGCGAATCACGGTCCTGACCTAGTCCCAAACTGCTCAATAGTGTTCAACCTGTAAGATGAAAGATGGACAAACAACGTAGGCAAAGAATCATGAAGAAACAAGTAATACCAGACTAGATACTTAGTTGGAAAGTCTTTATGTTGAACACATGGAAAAATGCATCTGGTTTGGACAACGCAGGAAATCTGTCTGTCTTTACAGAAGCTTGTTATATACAAACAACAGCGAGAGGTAGACGAGTTATTTCAACTAAAGGTCCTTTTGTAGTAAACCCCCTTATTCACTTTGTGTGGAGAAAGTCGCTGCATTCTTATGGGAGTGGTCTAAAGAGTGGCCTATTCTAAAAGTTAGAATTGTTTTTTACCTGTTTGATAATTATGTACCCTAGCTAAAGACTTTTTCATAAGTTTTAGCCTCCTCTTTCATTCAATATTTTCATTCAAATTATGTACGTATATTTTTATAACTATTAATCACTATGACATTGGTCCTCTTTTTACATCAAACACAGACAATAAGTAAAACCATCGTCAATGGCAAATACAGAAATCCAATTGCATTTCAGACGTGGAGTTGGCTGAATGAACTCCTGTGAAATCACTTTGACCAGCTCTGGTAAATAAGGAAGACCTTTGGTGTATTTGACCTTGGCTTGGGGAGAAACAACAGTTCAGAGGCAACTACTGCATCCACACCTGCTGCGTTGGAGGCGTGTGGATAGAAATGGATAGAAACCTTGTGCAGTGATTGATCTCTTTTGAATTCCTTTTGAACGAAATGACATGGGTCAAGCATTTGGTATGTACTTTGATTATCTTAGATGTGGAATCCAATGTTATCTTTTCAAACACAGTATATATACACGGACTGGGTGGGATGAAATAAATTATCTTCTTCCCACTACCTTTCAGGCATGATTGATTAATACATTATCAATTAGATACAATTTAATTTATTTTTGTTTGGCCCTAAATCACAACAGTAGTTACTGTTTATCAGAGGACTTTACAAAGCTGTCGATTCACCAACACAGATCAGAGAATCAAAGAGTTCAAAAACCGGAAATGCAACAATAACAAACACATACAGCCCTTGGTTCATAAGGGGCAGAGACCAATGTCCATAAATAAATGACATTGAATGTCGAATCTCATGGATCATCACCATAGTCCTAAGATTCTCCTGCATCGGCAAGGAAAAACTCTAAAAACCCAGTGGGATGAAAGGGAGGAACCTCAGGGAGGCCCACGTTGAGGGAGGGATCCGCTTCCATGGGCTGTAGATCCAGGACTCGGGAGAACTTTGCTCCTGCATTCTCTTGAAATAAATACATGAATACAATACAGTATATTTACATATTGACAATGAGCAGCTTTCCTGATCCATCTTGATTAAACACTATGGTCTAATTGAATCTGAATGAATTGTGGCTGCAGTGAAACTTTCATGCAAAAACTAGTCTGCTTATAATGCCATGTCCGCTGAGAGATACGCCTGAATGCTTTGTTTTTTGATTTATTTTCCGTACCCATGTTTCCAGGTGCCCCACATGTAACGCCACAGTCCGGTGAGCCTGGGTGCAGTGAACACAGCCCAGCCATCCGTGCAGCCTGTGTGCATGTCAGTCTGTTTAATGTAGCAGAGAGCCTCCACCAGAGACCCTGACCCATATGACCAAACCTACGATCTTTACACTTTGGTTTTGTTTGTTTGTTTTTAATTATGCTGATATACATTACGTAGGCTTGTCAATGTCAGCTATAGCAATAAATCTGCTTTTCAGATTCAGATTCAGATTCATTAGCAAAAAAGGTACTCTGTGTGCACCGACAGAATAAAAAGCACGAAAAAATGTAATATAAAATAATTTTAGGTTAGTGCAGCTTTGATAAATGGAATGAGTCAAGCGGAAGTAAAGCCTAACAATATTATGTAGCATGAGACCACTGTGCTAGCTTTTCTTTGTGTGTTGATAATGACCGCAATAAAAAAATATAATGACCACTATAAAAAATACAATTTACAAATTCTAACTTTAAATCCTCAATTCTACTTTATTGACACGTTTTTAACCATTGTGCTAACCTTGGGTGATATTGATCAGTCACAGTGATTAAGAAATACCCTAAAATAGTATTTTCTAAGCTGAATGTCGATGATTTTTCCTTATTTGACCAGCCCTGCATGATTTTGACCCAAATTGGGGGTATTGTTCTTCTACTTTGAATCACTGATGGTAGCACGAGTATACATTTATATAGTAGTCATTTAAAGAGATGCTATATTTTTATTTTTATGTATGCCTTATTCTATTTTCACATTTTAACTTGTTTTCACCGAGAGCCAAAGCCAAAGAGCCAACATTTCCTGGTTTGTGACTTCCTGTTACTCACAATGGCAGTAAAAGTCTGATTCCACTTCTGAAGGGTTGAAAAAAAAAATGCACATCTATTTCCAGGTCTCCTACATCAGTGCACTGTCTTTGTTTGAGGATTTCCTATACGCCACTCACTCGGACCCCTCCAGCGCCTCTCCCACCGTGGAGCTGCTGCAGATCCATCGCTTTAACATCACAGCGGCCCCTCGCACCCTCACCAGTCTGGGCAACTCTCCGGCTCTGTGCGTCTACCACAAACTCACACAGCCAAAAGGTAAAGAAAACGCCACGCACAGAGGTCCCACACGGGGGCAAGACTTTTATATCTGTTTATCACATCTTCACAAGGATATGTCAGTAGTGTTTGGTCTCAAAGGGGCTGTGGCAATGGTATTTAAAGGTGTCTTCCACTTTTCTTGTTTTCAGTCAGGACTCATTCATGTGCAGTGGATTCTTATGGACGAGCGGGCGGCTGCTCCCATCTCTGCCTCCTCACCGGAAGCTACAAGTCTCGGAGCTGTCGCTGTCGAACGGGATACATCCTGGGATCAGACGGACAGTCCTGTAAAAGTTAGTATTCATCATCAAATACATAGTTGCTTTAGTTTGACAGCGTGGGGAAGTATGGGAGCTGTAGTTGATTTATGTTGTTGCCAGAACGAACATGATTCCAAATATAACTTAACAAGTATGACCTGTAGCTTTTCAAGTTGGTGTAAGTTCTCAGTCGTACAAGTATTATTCAAAACAAAGGAAGGTTGTCCACCCATCATCTGTACATCAGTTAGCAGGTTTCCAATTTTTTCTCCAAAGAACTTTTTCAAGTAAATGAAAGCCGCGAGTTGGAGATTTTTGATATTGACTCATTAACACTAACACTAACATCTAAAGTCTGCTAAGATCACTGAGGTTGGGTGCAGGTCTAAAGATCCTGCTAGGGCTAACATTCCTAACTCATTAGCCTGTCACTGACCTTTCTCTGTTGGAAATGTTTGTGCGTCATTTTTAGGACGTTGTCATAGATACGGAGCAAATCAAAACTTAACCTGCCCCCTCTATTTACGGTTGGTTAGTGTTTTTCTCACAAAAATGGCGTCTTTCACCCCTCTCTCAAACCAATTTTGTCTCGAGCCAGAATTCACACTTGTTTTTTCACTTCAGAAAGTGGAAGACCAAACTCACTGAGGTTTTATAACCCAACGAATGTGCATATTTCACTTAATTATGACCAAGTATGAATGCATCTCATTGGGTAGGAGCGATTGCATGTGTTGTCAAGGGTAGTGGAAACCGGAACACCTCGAGGAAACGCAAGACACAGGGAGACACAGGGAGAACATGCATATCCATGCATATCCATTCAGAAAGGGGACCAGGATCAAGGGCCTTCTTGGAAGATGTGGGAATGCTAATCACTCAGCCACTGTCTTGCTAAGAGGAAATAATTTTATATCCATTTGAGATTGTTAATTTCTCTGCTGAAAGTTATTTGTTTAAAAAAAAAAATGTGCTAACTGAAAGTCACATTAAATCACAAATAGTTTTTGCTTTTGTTACATTAAAATATGTGTTTTAGTTCTTTTATCTACCACCTGTTACACCAAATGTTCTGGAACATGTTTGTTCTCTCATTATATTTGAAAATTTGAAAATGCATGTGTTAAAACAGTCATTTCACATAATTGTAAACAGTAAATCATGAGTAATTTAAAAGATGGATTTTGTAAACAGCCGGTGACCTACAATTAGCCTCTCCATGATGCATGTAATTGTACAGACTTTGTCATTTATCATTGTTTATCACAGGTTTAGAAACAAGTTAGTGCTGAGAAAACCATTAGACAATTATTCAGATTGTGTAAACATAATCATACATTTTTTAGTCAAGGCTTATTTTCTGTTCGTCAGCCCCAGAGTCGCTGAGGTTTACCAAATAACACAACTGTGGGATATTAAAGGTTGTGGAGGAACTAAACTTAGACATCAGAGAAACATTTTGTATTTAAGTCTAGTGGTGAGAGATCTTAAAATACTTCAAGCTGCATTAATTATGTTGAGCTCTATCACAATTGATGTCTTATCATTGGAAAGAAATTCTGATTTTTATTGTCCTTAAATAAACAAAAATATACAATACAATACAATACAATTTATTCTTGTATAGCCCTAGGTCACAACAGAAGTCATCTCAGAGGACTTAACAAAACCATTGAAATCACCAACACAGGTCAGAGAATCAACAGTTAAAACACATGAAGAATATAAAGCACACACAGAAGAAAATGTCCATACATGTTGTAGAATGCTAAAGTGTCCTGATCATCACCAATCCTTTCTGTTGGACACTAACTGTCCAACAAGACCCTCCTGCATCGACAAGGAAAAACTCTTAAAAAACCCAGTGGGAAAAAGTGAGAAACCTTGGAGGAGAACTAGGGAAACCCACAGGGAGGGAGACCCATATGAGAAAGGGATCCGCTCCTCCGGACGGACAGGCTAATGATCTAGGACCTAAGCTAGCTACAGAACGTGGACCAGTGGACGCTGAACGTGGACAGGTCCGGTGCAGGACTGAAGCACTCCCAGGCGGGTCGGGCGGGGCAGTCCGCAGGTGTAGATGGAAGAGGCCAGGCTCAAAGATCCCGTCATCGTACCATGAAACAGACAATGGGACAACGGGTGAATAGCAATGAACAAACTACAGTCAGAATCCTAAAAATGCTAAACAGATAAAGTAGGAAGGAGGAGAGGATAGTGCTCAAGTTACCATACTTCTCCCAGCAAACTGACTCCCTATGCAGCTTGACTAACACTCTGAGGAGTTTAACCTTCTCCGAGTCTTACCTTCCTAGCCATATGCTAAACTAAAGAGGACTGTTTTAAACCTAGCCTTGAATAAAGAATAACATACAGCATAATATATAACATAATATACAACATAACACAATACATTATTGAATAATATATAACATAATATATAACATAATACAGCATATATATATAATATATACACTACATATTATATATCACCTAATTATATGCTAAATTAAAGTAAAGTGCTTTAAGCCTGGCCTTGAATGTGGAGACCGTATCTGCTTCCTTAACATAAATGGGAAGCTGATTCCACAGTAAAGGAGCTTGGTAGCTAAATGCTCTGCCACCAACAGTGACCTTTGAGACCTTAGGGACCACCAGACGTCTGGCGTTTTGTGAGCGCAACGCTCGACTTGGTTGATACGACACTAACGTGTCTTGGAGATAAGAAGGAGCCAAGCCATTTATGGCTTTATATGTTAAGAGTAGGATTTTAAACTTTATTCTGTACTCCACAGGGAGCCAGTGGAGTGATTTTAACACCGGAGTTATGTGCTCCCTCCTTTTGGTACCTGTTAAGATCCTAGCTGCTGTATTCTGAACGAGCTGGAAGCTCTTCAAAGAGGCTTTAGGGCACGCTGCCAGTAAAGCGTTACAGTAGTCGAGCCTTGAGGTGACAAACGCGTGAATGAGTTTTTCCGCGTCACTTTTAGGAAGGAAATTCCTAATTTTAGCGATGTTCCGTAAGTGGAAGTACGCCGTTTTAGTTGCTTGGCTTATATAAGCCTTGAAGGAGAGTTCTTGGTCAAAAATGACTCCAAGATTCCTCACAGTGTTACTGGGTATTATACTGACATTATCGAGAGTAACCATCTGGTTAGTGAGGGAGTCACGCAGGCGCTTCGGACCGAGTAGGATCACTTCTGTCTTCTCCGGGTTGAGAAGTAGGAAGTTAAGAGTCATCCACATTTTAAGGTCCTTTATGCAGGCACTGAGCTTTTCTAGCTGATCTGTCTGGTTAGGCTTCATCGACAGATAAAGCTGTGTGTCATCTGCATAGCAGTGGAAATTAATTCCATGCTTTTTAATAATGTTTCCCAGTGGCAGCATGTAGAGAGTAAAAAGAATCGGTCCGAGTACCGAACCCTGCGGCACACCGAATTCCACTCCAGAATAAGGCGACGAGTCCTGATTCACATTGACGAAGTGATATCGATCTGATAAATAGGATTTAAACCAGCCAAGGGCTGTTCCTCTAAGACCTATATCACATTCTAGCCTCTGCAGTAGAATGCTGTGGTCTATTGTGTCAAATGCAGCACTAAGGTCCAGTAGGACCAGCACTGACACTTGTCCATTATCGGCAGCTAGTAGTAAGTCATTTGTGACTTTGACTAGTGCCGTTTCAGTGCTATGATGAGCTCTGAATCCTGATTGAAAGACTTCAAACATATCATTTTCCTGCAGGTGGCAGCGGAGCTGCTCAGCTATAAGTTTTTCCAGGATTTTAGATATAAAAGTGAGGTTTGAGATCGCTCTGTAGTTTGTAAGTATTTCTGGGTCCAGGTTTGTTTTCTTCAGAAGGGGTTTGATTACCGCGGTTTTAAAAGCTTGTGGGACATAGCCACATTGTATGGATGCGTTTATTATATTTACGATAGGCTCAATTATCAAAGGAAGTATGTCTTTGAAGAGCCATGTCGGGACTGCGTCTAACATGCAAGTTGAGGCTTTTGAGGATGTGACCACAGAGATCACCTCTGCTTGGCTCACAGCCATGAATTTATCGAGGCCCACTGAAGAGTCTAAGTGGGAAGTCACGTATGCCGCTTCAACCTGTCCACCACTAACAGCAGGAGCAACCTCCTCCAGCTTGTCACGGATGGATGTAATTTTATTATTAAAGAAGTGGAGAAAGTCGACACTGCTCAGTGAGCTTGGAATTTTAGGCTCGATTGCGCTATGGCAGTTTGTGAGTTTAGCAACGGTGCCAAACAAAAATCTACTGTTGTTTTTATTCGCTTCTATTAAAGTTGAATAGTATTGAGTTCGAGCCCCGCGAAGGGCATTCTTGTAGTTTCGGAGACCTGCTTTCCACTCCCTGTGGACAGGCTCCGAGTGGGAGTGGCGATATAGCCTCTCCAATTTTCTGACGTCCTGTTTTAAAGTGTGGAGTTGAACACTGTACCAGGGCGACGATGATCTAATCCTAATGGTTTTCTGTTTTAAAGGAGCTGCTGCATTTAATGCAGATTTTAAAGACTCCATAGTGTTGTCCACCGTTTGGTCAATGACTGAGGGACTGCAGCTGCTGTGAACAGGTTCACCTGCAGCAGTATTCAACATAGGCTGTATTAGTTCTTTGAACCTTGTGATAGATTTATCATTTAAGGTTCTTTTCATTATGGTTTTATCTTGCGGGACAGGAAAGTCCTCCGAAGCGAGATCAAACGTGATCAAGAAATGGTCAGACAGCAACGAGCTTTGACGCTGGATGTCAACATTGGAGACATCACAGCCGTAGGTCAGGACAAGGTCCAAGGTGTGGTTATGAATGTGAGTAGGTTCCTCGACATTCTGAGTAAAACCAACACCATCTAGTACGGCGCTGAAAGCTTTGTTTAAGCTGTCAGTGCTGTCGTCCACATGTATATTGAAGTCTCCAGCTATAACTATGTTTTCCCATTCCAAAACTAGGTTTGAAATGAAGTCAGAGAATTCTGTTAGGAACTCGCTGTAAGGACCAGGAGGTCGGTATAAA